AGCTGCTATCCTCACACCGCTCACCGACAGCAGGGCCATTGCCACCCGCTTCCCCAAGGAGGTCATCTCAGGTGAGCGCCCACCGTGGCACAGTGCAGGCCACCAGCGAGAGCACAGCTTTGCTGTCCCGCTGCTGTTGAGGGCTCCTCTTTGACATCAGGTGGAGCAGGGAACACCAAACATGCTGCCCAGCCTGGACAGCACCATCCCTTGGGAGCTCTCAAAGAACAGTGCCCAGGGCAATCATGGCTGTGTTTGCACACCCCAGCTCCCTCAGACTGATGTCTACTGACCAGTGGCAGCCAAAGGGGCAGGACACTGCATTGAGTGACTGAGAGTCACATCTCCAGTACCCCAACTGTGAGCCACCTCAGCCTTCAGCCAAAACCGATAAACACTCCCATTCAGGCATGGAAATCCGTTGTCCCACCTGAAAACTTCTCTCAGCTGGATGCCCAGCAGTAACAGCAGATGCTTCATGTACATAGAATCCCAGACTGGTTTGGGTTGGAAATCATAGAATAATCATAGAATAGTTAGGGTTGGAAAGGACCTTTAGATCATACAGTTCCAACCCCCCTGCCATGGGCAGGGACACCTCACACTAAACCATCTCACCCAAAGCCTCATCCAACCTGGTCTTGAACACTGCCAGGGATGGAGCATTCACAGCCTCCCTGGACAACCTATTCCAGTGCCTCACCACCCTAACAGGAAAGAATTTCCTCCTTATATCCAGTCTAAACTTCCCCTGTTTAAGTTTTAACCCGTTACCCCTTGTCCTATCACTACAGTCCCTAATGAAGAGTCCCTCCCCAGCATCCCTATAGGCCCCCTTCAGATACTGGAAGCTGCTCTGAGGTCTCCACGCAGCTTCTCTTCTCCAGGCTGAACAGCCCCAGTGTTCTTAGCCTGTCTCCATAGGGGAGGTGCTGCAGCCCCTGAGCATCCTCGTGGCCTCCTCTGGACTTACTCTTCATGTGACAAGGCTGTAGCCAAGACTGTTGTCTTGACCCTGTTGTGGTGATGTGCTGTGACTGCAGCTCTGAAGAGCAACAGTTTAAGGACACACCAGCAGAGCCACACACACAGAGACGGGCCTTTCCAAAGGGAAAAATAATCACTTTCTCCTCTCAGAAAGCTCCTTCCCAACAGGAATCACCAGAAATCCCATGAGCTTTGGTTTTCCAGGTGTAACAGCAAGGTCCCTGTTTGCCCCACGCAGGTGCTGTGTGTTTCATTAACTGTGTGATTGGCCTCATCTTCACCATGGAGGCTGGGAATTACTGGTTTGACATATTCAATGACTACGCAGCCACCCTCTCACTGCTGCTCATCGTGCTGGTAGAAACCATCGCGGTGTGTTACATCTATGGGATAAGAAGGTAAAGAGCTTGAACTCTCCTTTCCTCACAGTGGGCTAGCTGGGGGAGTGAACACAGAATAAACACCTCCTGGGGTGAGATGTTTCTGCTGCGTGTGGTATCTGCAAGGTGATGGGGTCTCCCCTGTCCTGCAGTCCCCTTCCAGCGCCTTGGGTTCAGGGCTGTGTGGTGTCCAAGCCATACATACGGCTCCCTGCTCTCATCTTTGGTCTCAAGAGCACCTTCTGCCAAAGGTGCTCCTCCTTTCACAGTGATTCAGTGAGAGCACAGTGCTGGCAGGTCTGCTTTCAAAGATCCACACATTTCCCAGGGCAGCCCTTGTGGGTAGAAGCAAGATTCAGCACCAGGAAGGTTTTAAGCAGCAGAGGTGTTTGTGCTCAGGGCACCTAAAGGGAAATGCTGTGGCATTTGCATTGTTTGCACACGTACGGTGCTAGCAGACTGGCACCTACATTGGTATTCCAGCCTTGATGAGTTCAACGCCTGTGAGGTGGATCCAGGCTTCCTATGTGGCTTTAGGTACCATCCCCAGCATCTTCCTCAGGGACAGTAGAGGAACAGTGGTGAGAACAACTCAGCTACACCAAGATGAGCGGTGTCTTCTGCACAGCACTGAAGCATCATTGCTTTTCTCCATTTCCTTACATCAGTAATGGCCTGAACTTGGACTCCAGGACTTTTCCTGCTGTACCTGTATCTACTCTTCCTCAGTTCAGGATCCTCTTGGAAGCCTTGCTCTCTTACTTGATTTCACTCTCACTCTATGACCCCACTTGAAGAACAATACCTCTCTGCTCCTTACTTTTAGGGTCAACTGCCCTCCCCTTTCCCATCTTACCCATTTAATTCTGTAGGTGGCTTTGCAGTAACCCAGATCAAGGTATGGACTGAACATGTGCAGCTGTTCTCAACATGTGCTTATTGCTGGTTTCTCCTTATACACAGATTTGAGAAGGATCTTTACACCATGATTGGATGCAAACTCAACTGGTACTGGAAACTTATGTGGGCTTTTGCCAGCCCTTTGCTAATTATAAGCCTATTTATATTCTACCTCACCGACTATATCCTCACAGGAACGCTGCAATACCAAGCATGGGATGCCACACAGGTAAAACAGTTTTGGGTTAGGGGTTGTTTTTAAACTTCCCTTAATTCCTGCAGGGAACTGAGCCTTCCTTAATACTACATTGTTCTACAAAACTGCCTCCTGAAGGGGGGAAGCTGGAGCCGGGGCCATGCCTTAATGTTGTGGAAAGGAAAACGTGACCTAGTGCAATGATTGTGTAAAATGCAGTCATTCCCCTCTTGAGTCTTAAGTGTACCTTTGAAACAGCAATGTTTTGTTAATGTTGAAGACCCAAATACCATCTTAAAACTATAAACAGAAAGATTATTTTCAAAGTACAGTATTTTGAACAAAATGAGTGGTGTTTTAACAGACCTGAGCTGCTGCTGGAAGAAATAATAATTATTCATACTAATTATTATTGTTTGCATAATTACCATACACATTTTTCTTCACAAAACGCTTCAGTACAAGTTCTTCCCTGTGAGGGTGCTGAGGCGCTGGCACAGGGTGCCCAGAGAAGCTGTGGCTGCTCCATCCCTGGCAGTGCTCAAGGCCAGGCTGGACACAGGGGCTTGGAGCAACCTGCTCTAGCGGAAGGTGTCCCTGCCCATGGCAGGGGGTTGGAACTGGATGATCCTGAGGTCCTTTCCACCCCAAACCAGTCTGTGATTCTATGAATGCTGAGCTGTGTATTTATCACAGTGAATTACAACTGGGTAAGTAATCACTGTTTTTGTAATCTTTTCTGGTAATGTTCCTAGCACACACAAATTAAGACCCGTCTTCCTGGGACCTGTGGTAGTCCTGGCCTGGTGACTGGGTGTCAGCATGAGCCCCAGGCTCCAGGAAAGGAACACAGAGACCTGACAGAGGTTAGGACCAAGCCACCTCATTAAGAAAAATCAATTAAGCCCAAATCTCCTCTTTCCCACAGCTTGGATAAATTAAGTTTTCCTCAGTATTTCTGTCAGCAGCTCTGGTTTTGTTAATTCTAAGCTTGTAGGGTTGGACAAAGAAAAGTACTGAGGGCAGCGCTGGTCTCTGTGGGTGTCCTGTTTCGATACACACTCACAGCTTTGCTCCAGACCCTGCTCCAGGACACTGACAGAATAACCCCAAATCCAACTCTGCTTCTCTCCCTTGCAGGGGCAGCTGGTGACAAAGGACTACCCAGGCTATGCCCTGGCCATGATCGGGCTGCTGGTGGCATCATCCATCATGTGCATCCCCCTAGGGGCACTAGTAACATTTATAAGGAAGAGACTGAAGAGGGAAAGCGTTTCAACCACTGCCTGAATGCCCACAGCTGGATTTGGGAAGACCTTTACCCCCATCGCCGGCGGATGGGCACTTCTGGAAGACAGCAGCAACCATTATTTGTAGCAGCTATTTCTAGAGTTGAGAACTGTGGGTGCTATATTGACCAAAAAGTGCTCTTAGGAGGTTCCACGGTGGTCTGGAAAAACAAAGAGCTCTTCTGTAACAAGATGAAGCTTTTAAAAAAGGCCTCTGTGAGAGAGGGGAAAACACGAGAGCAGCTCACAAAATGCTAGCCCAAATTAACCAGCACATCAACCCACTATACAAGGTTAGGTAGTTCTTTCCCTCTGTTGTAACACTGCCTATGGGGAAACGTGAGCAACCAACTAAGCATGCTCCTGCACCAGCAAAGACCCTTACTATTCCAGAAAGCCACTCATAAGCATGCATGTCATTTGGAATGACATGTTTTTAATCAACAGATGCAACTGCTGAAGTCTTGCAATGTGAATGTGACAATCCCTCTCCTCCAAGGGAGAAGTCAACAGGACGGTCCTGGAGATAAGTGTGGCTAAAACTGCTTCTTTGTTACTTGTGTCCAGCAAAGCAGTTTCTATGTACATATATACACATAGATATTCATACATATTCATGAGCTGCAGTTCTCTCACCTCCAGAAGTAGTAATCTTCCAATTCCAGTATGCAATTGTGCGCTGTGCTGTACTTCGTATTTTCTAGGGATGCACTTTAAGTACACTGGAAGAAATCTGTGCTAAAGCTGCTTTACGAGCCCCACCAAACAAAAGTAGGATTAGCTTTGCCAATGTTCATGCCCAGATATACTCTAATCGTGAGCTGTAGTGATCCAGCTGTTCCATAGACCTGGTTCATTTCCCTATGTGACCATTTTATAAAGAAAGCAACATGTTTAAATTGTAAGCTTCATGTAATAAAAACCCAGTAAAATTATAGCTGTGAACTTTAAAGAGGTTACTCTGAAGAACAACATCAGAGACACTCATGGGATGTGGGTTCTTAATATAGTGTCTTAATGATGTAACCATCAGAGGATGGCAAATGCCTTACTAAAGAGGGATTAATTTCAAACAATGTTAATGGCAACCAACACAAGTCCCTTGCTCTGGGGCAAAAAGCGAGAGGCAGCTGTATGGCCTTTAGGGGTGGGTGGAACCTTAATGATATCAACCACCACTGACACCACGCAAGGGCTAGCCACAGGCCATGCCTCCCTCCCCAGGCTTTGCTAACAAAGGAAAGACACTTTTTCACATCCCAGTTTATTAAAAATGGATACCATAAACAAGACCTGTACAAAAAAATATCCGAAACTGCCCACGATTTGGTGACAGTTGCCTGATGAGAAGTTACCGTCTTGGGCCTCCTCGGCCTCTTCCACGACCTCGGCCTCTGCCACGACCTCTGCCACGGCCTCTTCCAGCAACTGAGCAGATGAAACAGAAAGGATAAATCATGTGAGACCCACTTTCACCTTGGTTAAAACATTCTCTATCAAGCATAAACAACACACATACTGCTTCCATGTCATGAGGTATTGTTTGTTAATGCTCAGTGGGTTTCAGGCAGCATTTCCATCATCTGTGTTAGCTTTTTCAGTATACCACTGCCACAGACTACTGTCTTCACTGAAGAAAACAAGGGAGTATAACGGTTTGCTGCTCCCAAAGGTAAGGTAAGTCTGACAGAGAACTTATTTCTCTTTTTCTTCATCTTTTTGAGATAATCTAGTTTTTCAGGCATCACAAAAGCATACGCAAGAGTACTTTGTTACTATTCATTACAAAGACATTTTTTCTTGCCGCAGCTTGCACTGTGGTTATCAAGCGTTCTGCTAAACAAAAATGGTGAGTTTTAACATGCTGTGGGATTCCCAAACTCAGCCTTTCTCAGGCACATTTTGAAAGGATCCCACCCCCAAACACCTCCCAGTTTTCAGTGATGCCTCTACCGAGTTCCGATGTGCTTCTTAGGCCATGGGCTCAGCTGTGTGCTCCTGCTTTCAAAAACTGCTATTTTATGGTAAAGGGAAGGCAGAATCACAGAATAATTGAGGCCACAAGCAAGTGCTGTAGGTCTTGCGATCCAAATCGTGATAACGGGATTTCACCCCTTTCTCCTAAAAGGGTTTCTTTCTCCTAAAGAAACAGGACCTGTCCCACCAGGTTGCAAGGCCAAACTTTTGCAATTACTGGTTGATTTCAAAGAAGCCTGCCAGTGCAGAGCTCAAAAAGATACTTAAAAATCCATGGAAGTGGGTGGCTGGGTAAGAGCCACACTCCAGCACTCACATTTAGCCAGGAGATTGCAACAATGACTGTTCCACCTGACCCTACCTAGGTTAGAAATCCCATATAGGCAGAGTAAAAGCACAAATTAGTGAGAAGGCTGGTGGCTTTGCTGGCAACAGCCTGACCCTGTGAAATACACAGAAGCATCAACATCTGACTGAATGATTACAGCACCTACATGCATCAGCAGCAGCCACACTGAGAAAGTGTTGGCATACTCAGACCCCAGGCACATGTTTCATGTACACCTATCAGCCAGCACCCTGCCTTCCACTGACAGCCTGATTTGCCACGGACACATGCCCTGTTACACACTTCTGAAGCCCAAGGGCATTTGCAGATTAAGGCAAAGCACAGCACAACACAGCAGCGGTCTGAGAGTGCTTCAGTCCACTGGAGATGCAAGGAGGATGAAACTGAGGTAACCAGCGCTATCACAGCTCCTTTCCTCTCTCCAAGTTAAAAAGAGGTAGTGCTGTTCTTGTTCACATTGTAAGGTTCAGAAAAAAACCAACCCAACCACACTCACTCCTCCATGTGGTCAGGTGGTTTTTAATAGATGTGAGAGGAACAAAACGCTTTGAGGAGCTTTATCCTTGTTCTCTATGAAGGCAGTGGCCATACCCCTTGTACACTGTGATGGACACACCACAGTGTTCCTCACACCACTGCAGTGAGGTAGGCACACCAATTCGTAACATACTCAGGGATCAAAGACCACAGATCCAAATACCTAGTTACAGGAGAAACGGTACCACATTTAGAGCACAATTAGCTTTCACTTGCAACTTACTTACTTTCTATTTTAAAAGTACACAGATTAACAGCTGGGCAAAACACACAGTGCCTGAAGACAGCCTATAGACCTTCTGGGGTTTACTGGATATTAACCTTAAAAAACGGTGTGGATTAAGACTGAATTGCTCTCTACACCATTAGGCTTCTAGAGAGAAGGTTTTTGTTCAACAGTCCTGTGATAGATTAAGATTTACTCAAGCTTAAAAACACATTTTTTAAAACAGGTGTATAAAAAGCCATACCTATGATTTCACATGAAAGAAAGCTCTACAGATGCTAAGGTGGGGAAGGCAGACTTAGCCAGTCCAGTGTCAAACCCTCTGAGACGAAAGAACTAGCTGCCAAATGCAGGTATTAAGACATGCAAATCCAATGTCTTCAGATTCAGAGTGCTAAAATGCATACATAGGCAGAGCAAACACAGACCAGGAAAGCACAAACCTGCTTCTCTTTTCTTGGATTTGACTTTTGGTTCAACATCCACTAGCAAAGTATCCAGAGGCAAACTGTCGGGCAGGATGAAGTATCGGATGTTATTCCCTCGAATACTCAGCGTCTCCAGCTGTACAGGTTCTCTGTTCTTCAGCGTCATCTTCACTGCTTTGAGATGTGTGTTCATACTGACATCCACTCCTGAAACAACACAAGTCTGATTTCAGGGATGAAAGGCTTTAAGATGGTCCCTTGTTGGCTGGTTTTATGCTCCCTAATTTAGCAATTGCTGCCTTTAGCATCTCCTTGCTAGAGATCTGGATCTAGACAAGAGCACTTTTGTAAATGGTTAAAACAATTCCTTTGAATAACAAGTAAACTGCTGCTTAATCTTTAAACTCCTTCAAAGAGAAGAAAACCAAACCTTTGAGGAGGAAAAACATCTTCTGTAAGCCTTAGAAAAATCACAGAATGGTTTGGGTTGGAAGGGACCTTAAAGACCATCCTGTTCCAACCAGATGGATACTGCAGTTCACAAACACCTGCTAATTCAGTGACACTCACCCTAGCAGTTCCTACACCTTCCAACTCCTGTACAAACAACCCTTCGTGCTAAAAATCAGGACAGTCTTGTCCCACAAACACACAAAGACAAACTGCAGGCTTACCAAGACAAACAAGTGAGGAGCAGGCCAGAAACAGAACCACCACTGTGCTGTGCTTATTCCATAGATTTTTCTGTCCTCTCCCCTTACTTCCAGGTTTCACACAGCTCTCCGGCACCTGCACTTGGTTTGTGCAAGGTTCACACGACATGAAACCTGCCCCTTCACCAAGCTTGCTCTGGCCAACTCACACCCAAAGAGGAAGAAGAGATGGCCCAGCAATGACAGACACAGTTCACGCGCCAGTGTAAAGGGAAGATTCTCATGTTAGAAACACAGACTGCATGAAGTTTTTACAGAAAATGAGAGATTCTGATCAACAATTAAGCCTGCAAGAGCACTGAGGCCAGGAGACAAGCAGTTGGCTTGCTTTCTACCCAGCTGGGTTCAACAGAGCTTGCTGCAATCAGACACCAGAGTGGTGCCTTCACGTCTACTCAAAGCTGATGGATCTGGCAGCAAAATAATGTCTGTTCTGAACTTTGCCAAATCTCAGCAGATTGCTACTGGCCAAAAAAGCACCTCAGCAATCCCCTGGAATACAACTCTGCCAAGTTAGAATTCTGCTTTGTTTTACTAACAGTGCCTGGGCAGAAGCATTCTAAAAGCAGCCTGGGGTGAGCGAAGGAACGGAGACCAAGCATGTTCATCAGCTTAACTGTAAGGGTTTGCTTCATCAAATGCAACATGCCCCATCTACATTCCTGGTCATCTCTACAGCAATGCTAACATGAATGTTCTCAGAACAAGATCACTCACTGATATCACTGAAGGCAAACAGAATAGTCTGCTCATTTTTCATCACATGAGGACAATATAATAAATCATAAAGGCTTTTCCTGCAACAGAAGTTTCTGACAGACAATAACATTCCACAAACTTATGCAAAAGATCTCTGGCATCAGCAGGAGACCAGGTTTGCAGCAACAGGACTCCTTTTTGCTGTGTATCCCTCATCAAGCTCTGTGTTTTCAAACCCGTTCCATGAAATCAATGTAAATATATGCAAAGATGCATTCTCCCCTTCTGCTGTGCTCTGGGGAGATCCCCACCTGCAGTCCTGATTGAGCTCTGGGGGAAAAACACACGAGGGACATGAAGCTATTGGAATGAGTGCAGAGCAGGCCCTGGAGATGCTGTGAGGGCTGGAGCCTCCAAGGTCAGCCTGGAGAAGAGAAGGCTCCTGAAGGGGAGACCTTAAAGCAGCTCCAGTGCCTAAAAGGGCTCCAGCAAACCTGGAGAGGGGCTTTGGACAAGGGCCCCTATAGGCAAGAACAAGGGGGAATGGCTTTAACGTGCCAGAGGGGAGATTGAGACGAGCTCTTAGGCAGAAGTTCTTCCCTGTGAGCGCGCTGAGGCGCTGGCACAGGGTGCCCAGAGAAGCTGTGGCTGCCCCATCCCTGGCAGTGCTCAAGGCCAGGCTGGATGGGGCTTGGAGCAACCTGATCAAGTGGAAGGGGTCCCTGCCCATGGCAGGAGGCGGAACTGGATGATCTTAAGGTCCCTTCCAACCCAAACCAGTCTGGGATTCTGTGATTTAGAAGTTCACCTTAACAAGAGCAAAAATGACCTCAATAGAAATTATCTATTTTTTTTTAGATAAAAAACGCTGAAACCCAAAATTTCACTGATTTAAGACCATATCAGCACTTAACATTTGCCATCAAAAAAGAAATCCCTCTTCTGACATTCTGCTGCAACGTTTCTATTGTTACTGCACCTTCAGAAATGAAAAGTCAGATGTACTGAGACACCTTATCAAAACTCAGATGTACCTCCACCACCAGCTTTGATATGGCAGTAAAACTGCCTCACCAGCATCATCATCCTAAGGGAGTATCACACTTCCCACAGCTTTGCCAATGGTCTAGAAATGTCTCCTTCCCTCACTTCCAGGCCTGTTTGGAAGTGAAGCCTGGAGCCTGGCTCCCAGGACTAGAGAGACTGTACTGCCTCCCAGCAGCACCTTATACACAGAAAGCTCTTCACAGAATAGACCAGCAGCTTCAGATCAACCACGGGGGTATCAGGCCATCAGTATGTCAAAGACAATCTGCAACGGACTGAAATTCCAAGTGTTTTCATGGTTGGCTTTTCACTGCTCTGCACTGCAGCTTCTGCCGGTCTGGGCTCTTCGGTAACAAACACCCCCCTGCCTGTACGCAACGATGTCAATTATGAAGAACACCTCCTGCATCTCCCAGAGAAGGTCCCCGCAAGAGGGAGTACAAAACAAAAGAGCTCGGTCCAAGCCCGCCCTCAGCAGATGGGTAAGAGGCACCGCTCTGCTGCAGCCTCCCGCCCGCCGTACCTGTGATAGTGCCATGCACCTGGGTCCCGTTCTTCAGCTCAATGGTCACAGTCTCATGGCTCAGCTTCATTAGAAACCTAGGAATCAAAACCAAGCCACATCGCTCACTCCCATGTAAAGCCGTTTGCGTTTAACGTCCCGTTATGGAAAAACCGATCTGCGCGAAGTATTCCCACATCCCCAGCTCCCAAAGGCAGCGCTCCCGGCCTCTGCGGCACACGGTCGGCGAAGCATTATGCGACAGCAAGGTACACCCCCCGCGGTGTGCGGCACTGACAGGCACCGCGCAACCCAGCACCCCCCGGCGCACCGCCACCGCACACACGGCAGCGTTTACACCCCGCTAACGCCTCAGGAGGGCAATTCTAACCTAACATGGCGGGGTTTCCGCCCCGAGGGTGGTACTGCCCGGCTCCCTCACCGCACGGCCAAGGCAGCGGTACGGGAAAGGAGGCCCCCCCCCCCCCTCCCCCCCCACAGCCAAGCTATAACGGGGGCCGGCGGCGGAGCGCCCCATGGGCCGGGAGCGGGGGATGTGGGCCCGCCGGGCGGCGGCTGAACGCGCGGCCCCGCTTCCCGCCGCGGCCTGGCGCCGGCAATCCGCTTCCATCCGCTCACCTGACGAGCTTCATCGCGGCGGGAGGCCGGAGCTCCGGCCGGGCGGCTTCGGGCAGGGGAGCGGCGGAGGCCGCGCCGCGGGGAGAGCAGGGACCCTCGGCGGGCAGGCCCTGAGGCGCGGGCGAGTCACTCGGAGCAGGCCGCGCCGCCGCCGACAAGCGGCCGCTCAAAGCAAGCGATCAATGGGCGGAAGCGCCGCTGCGCGCGCGCCAGGAGGTACAACAGCGCCCTCTAGCGGCGAGGAGGCCCCGCCCGCCGTGGGAAGCAAGCCGAACTGTTTCCTAGGAGCTCACAGCTTTTCCTGCTTTAACATTAAAAAAATACATTTTAGAGAAAAACACTTAATTTTAAAGCCACGGCCCAAGTTTAGAGTCTGTATTTTATACAAATATTTTATACAGTTTTGTACAGATTTATGTATTTCTTAAAAAATAGTAATTTTTTCTGTGTGTGTGAATTTACGCAGATGATGAAAGCTCACCCATCTAAAACATACACACAAAGCTCTGTCAAATGCTATTTTGACACTAATTCAGGAAGACCCAGCTCAGAACCTGAGTTTGAGTCTGTAACAGACCAATGACACAGTGGAGAAAACCCCAAACTTGAGAGATCTGATGTGTGCCTGCAGTAGGGGAGGGAAAGGGAGATGGCAACTTCCCTTTTCACCCCCAGCACCTATTGCTGTGATCAGTGAAAACCCCGAGGTTGTCTTGTGAGGGGAGAAGCAGAGCAGAGGAGACACTTGGGACTAAACATCAGGGAGATCCAGCCATGGTAATGAAGCCTGGAACGTGAGCCCAACACCAACACAAGGGCACAGTCACCAGTACTGAAGCATGGACAAGCAATGTCTGCAGCTGTAGAGCAGAGAAGGCAGCAAAGCATCCTTCCAGTGAGGAACTGTTCCTAAGGATCAGTTTGAGAACGGCCACGCCAAAGCACAACACACACCACGGACCAGCTATCTAGAAAAGTTGAACGTTTTATTGTCATTTATGAGAACACCGTTTGTGATTTTAGAGATACAGACTCTTTGCAAAGTACTGAAACGCAGGTGCTTTCCAACTTCGGAAACCTGCGTTATTCCACATCTGACAAACCTTTTATACTAGAGATGCAAGATCAGTCTTTGCTGCAACAAATTCTTCACCGAAGATGCAAGGATTTAGTTCTACACTGCAAGACAACCGTGCCGAGCTTCAAATGCCAGAGCGCCATCAAAACCGTGCCTTTCAAATGCAGAGTCTGTGGTGTTCTGGGACTTCCAGCCCATAATGGAGCTCACCTTCAAAAACTTTAAAGTTAGAGGGTTTTCCAGTTAACTGCCAACTGGTATTTCCGTTACAGCATCTAGAAGCAAACAGACACTTTGCAAGTACTAGTGCTTATGAACAGGTTATGTTTACACAGACCCCGGAGAGGCCTCCGGAAACATTCAAGGTTAAAATGAACAGTTAACAGTTGCAAAAATCTGTACATATTTTCAGTTGTAACTCAAGGAAACACCCAGAGTCCAGTGTTTTGTGTTCTAGCCTCAACTGCGCTCGTCCCAGTGTTCTACATGTTCCTCCCTTGCCCCCCAATGGTACACTCGTAATCTGAATATACAGCTGTACTTACAGGAACTATTAAACAAAGCACAGCCCCTTAAGCAAGTTCCATGGCTGGTTTTGAACAAACCATATAAAATAAGTGACAAAATAGATTAAAATTGGTCCTCAATTAGGTTTACTCATGGTTTCTTTTACAGCTTGGAAGCACTAAGACACACATGTATTATTAACCAGCACAAATGATTCTGTAGCTTTTTGTCTTTTGAAGAGTATGTTACAATATCATGCATGAGAAGCAAGCTGCTGCTCCCAAGTGCAAACACAGGGTTTAAACTAAACACGTTCTCCTGCGGTTGTTATTCCTTCTTTCATAGATTTCAACATAACCAAGAATAGAAGCAGCTGACAAGCAAAACAATATGAAGTTCACCTTTCACGTTGCGACCCATTCTTAAAGTAATGGAATACTTTGGACCTTTAGCATAAGGAAGGTTCAAGAAACACTGCAAAGGATTTTTACATTCTTTGATTTCATTTACATCTTTAGAAAGAAAAATTCTGTATTTTAACTTGCTAACTAATGTATCATCTGGAGATGGTAATATTGAAACAGTGCAAGACATCTGCAACTTCAGGAACATCCAATTACACTGCCCTTTCACCTTACAATGATGAGTAGAATATTGCATCAGTCCTAGATTAACAAGACAGGACAAAAGCTCATTTTAGAAGAGCATTAGGATTCAAAATATCTTTTCTACTTAGTGAAAAGAATCCACACACAAATATGCACAAAGGACTCCTTAACGTGGACTTTTATCACAACAAATATAATCCAGCTGTAAGTCTTAGAACAAGACATTTTATTGGTGTGAAGCTGTATTTGTTCAGAGACTAGAAGCTCCATTATTAATGCTTCAACATCTGCGTATTCTGATGCACAAACAGCATCAGAGCTCTCACCTGTCAAGCCAGAGACCAAATACTCAGCTGAAACAGCCCAGGCAGACTATGAGCTGAAGCAGCCCACTTATGCCCTAAAACATTCCAGACACCAAGATGCTGATTTGCATCTTTGCACTGCCTCAATAGGAGTGGAGCCCACTCCAGTAATACAATATTCCAAAGACCATTGCAACTAAAGACTGTTGAGTCAAGTCTCAGTTGAAAGCTGCCACCACCACCATAGGACACTATTTTCTCTCCTCCGCCCCCCAACACAACCAACGCTAATAACGATCACTATTTGGTGTGGAAAGCAGGTCAGTAGAGACTCCAAGTGTGGCTCGAGGAATCCTCACTACCAAGCCGCTTTCCACACACACAAATTCAGTCCATCTTCTCTTTCTGGACCAGCTTGGGTGCATCTACAAAATCCTTGCCATTGTAAAGAATGATGGCAAAAGTTCCAGAGCTTGCACTTCCCCAGAAAAACACATAGGCCATTGTCTCAGTCCATGTATCACCTGTTAAGAGTCAGATAAACATTTCAGGTTCATTATCTCCAGTTAGCAGAGAGGCTTTTTAGTATAAAAGCAAAATATTTCAAGCCCCCCCCCCCCCCTCAGATATCTGCAGTCAGATGAAGTCAGAAGTCCTTCATGGACATCGGGGCCTTTTCTTCCTCTATTTCCTTAACTAGGAAAACTGTGTTTGCCACAAGGTTCTTAGAACACTTTGAACAGACAGCTACAGAAGCTGGAGGCCAAGAACTCTATGAGCACTGATGATAAAAAAATTCAAGGCAAAAGAACACAAATCTTCACAACTCCCAACACAGACTGAGTTTACAGACAACACGCATCAGAATAGGCTTATGCCTGTATCTGACTTTTCTGAACTGTCTTTCTGCCCTACATCAGGTATTATTCTGGGGATTCATCCTGCTATAATAACACTAGATGTCTACTTCGGTGCAGCTAAATCTGGGAGCAACTAACTGCCCCTTAAATGACTTCTACAAAAGTTTTAACATTGTTTTCTATAGTAGCCCAGGTTTTTCCACATTAATGATACAGTGTTAGCTCTCAATCTTCAGAGCCACACTCAAACACCTTTTAGTATGATGGAGAAGCAATTTTATACTTCATAGCTTCAGGTAACCTTTTACAGGAAGTCTGCATACAAGCAAGCTAATTCTGTGCAATTAAAAAAGAGTGACTTACCAGCCATGAGCAAACAAATAATGCACATGGAGAAAGCAACCACCATAATAATAGGCAACTGGGAAAAGAGAAAAAGAATAATCATTTGATATAGCAGCACATATATGCCTTGATTTCCTTTAAGATGGGCTGTACTACAAAGCTATTTACTTGCTTTGCAATGAAGTTGCTTTAATTCCCGATTCACCTCTTGTCAGGTACAAAAAATTTTGGAGGAGTGTGTTGAATTAACTAGGTTAATTCTTAAAATACACCTTCTGTCTATTAAAAGAGAGACTGAGATTTGTGTTTTTAAGAAAAGAGTACACCAGTCACTAGTTAAACCCAGAATGTCCCAAATCCCATTTCACAAAACAGAAGGGTGAGGAATAATAAAGAAAGTGGGGGTTTTGTGTTACAGTCTGTGCATGAAGAATGAGATCTTCACAAGCTGCTTCTGCAGAAGGAGAGAGTCACTGGTGGTGACAGAGTTTCTCCCTTTCCACTTGATGAAACACATTTTTAAAGAACAGCAAGCAGCAGGTTGTTTTACGATACCTCAACACACTCCTTTTTCTGTCAAGGGAACAGGCTGGGTTTAGTCCTACAAGCAGGTATCATAGAAACATAACCAGATTATAAGGACGCTTCATCACTCAGTAGACAAGTTCTACTTAGTCACATGAAGCAAGTGACTAAAAGGTTATATGTGTTTCTCCAGTCATGAATAGTCTGCATACTCACAGCTAAGAACTTCCAATCTTTCTGGACATGCAGAGGACTAGCAGGTTCTACTTCATCCACAGAATAATTCCCAAGAAAAAGATCAATTGCATCCTGGAAGAGAAAGAGAGAGCAAGAGCTGAAATGCAGAACAATGTTGTTGCACTTCCCCACAGTTAAAAGCCTAACTTACCTGTCTAAATCCATCAGAGAAGTTGTTCTTGTAGTAACGTATTAATGAGTTCCATCCATCCATTATTAAGCCCCACTGAGTTCTCTTCCCAGTTCTACAAAAAGGAGTTTTGAAAAAACATTTCAAATAAGTTTATAAATTCAGGAAGATAATTTCAGATTTGCAGTTCTTTCATGGGTTTATGTTTAATAAGTGTATTTACATGGAGGTATTCATCTAGTGTTGCCTCTGCATTATTACCACACAATACCTGTAACTAGGTTTTAAAGTTACACTTCTCTCCATCCAACAATATAAGTGTGTCTTGAAGAAGCACATTTTCTTGGGTTTATTTCCAGATAGCCTTTTTTCCTTTCATATGAACACAGTGAAAAAAAGTGTTCTGTAGACTTTAGTCTGATATTTTACCAGCTGAGCCATTGTAAAACTTGTTAATAGCCTAAGCTTCTTCTTGGATATGAAGACTTAAAAAATGCCAAAAACATGCGAAAACCAATCCAGAAGGCCTTTACAAGAAAGGCTGACTTGCCTTGTGTAGTCTGTCTTTAAGGCACCAGTTCCA